CTCACACCTATTAGAGTGGCCATTATCTACAAGACAAGCAATAACAAGTGTTGGAAGAGGTTGTAGGAAAAAGGGAACCTCATTCACTGCTGGTGGGAATGTAGACTGGTACAACCACTATGGAAAACAGTCTGGGATTCCTCAAAAAATTAAGAATATGACCTAGCAATTCATCTCCTGGGTATATACACGAAAAACTCGAAATCATGTATTCACAAAGATATATGCACCCCTGTGTTCATTGCACCATTATTCAGGGTGGCCGAGACAAGGAAACAACTAAAGTGTCTTATGATAGAGGACTGGATTAAAGGAGATGTGGTACATATACACAATGGAATACTACTCAGCCATAGAAAGGATGAAATAGCACCATTTGCAACAACATGGATGGACCTTGAGAACATTATGCTAAGTGAAATAAGTCAGTCAGAAAAAGCTAAGAACCATATGATTTCACTCATATGTGAGACATAAAACTGAAACGCGTGATCACAAACAGTAATGTGGTGGTTGTCCAAGAGAAAGGGGTTAGGGGAGAATGAGGTCTTAATATATGGTGACAGGAAAAGATTTGACTTTGGGTAGTGAACATATGGTGCAATATACATATCTTGTAACATAAGAACCCACACCTGAAACCTATATGATCATCTTGAACAATGTCACTCCAATAAATTTAAAGAAAACCCAAAAGAAATGGGTTATAGTAGCTTTATATTATATAATATCCTACTTTATATTTTCTTTTTAGGGAGAGGGAGAAAGAGACACAGAAACATCAACGATGAGAGAGAATCATTGATCAGCTGCCTCCTGCATGCCCCCTAATGGGGATCAAGCCTACAACCCAGGCATGTGCCCTTGATTGGAATTGAACCCAAGACCCTTCAGTCCGTGGGCCAATGCTCTATCCACTGAACCAAACCAGCAAGGGCTCCTACTTTATATTTTCAACCTAGGGTATACAGTGTTTATATTCTGCTGTTGTTTTAGTCTTATATAGGGTGTCCCAAAATTCACGCAAGATTTGAATTTTGCGTGAGCATTAACAACAACAACAACAAAAAATAAAAGCCTAATTTTACTTGGTTTCTTGAATCAGATTCTAATATCTGTTTCCCTTTGATTTCAATCCCTTCAATTTTATAAGCATTACCAAGTACCAATTATGGCCCAGGAGCAGGCACAATGAAGACCACGGCTTTGCGTATGAGCCAGCAAAGCCGTGGAGGCCATTTACCTGATGTGCTATTCCATACATAACCCTAGACTGGATACTTTATGAGTCAATAAAAAATTTACAATTTTAATTATAAACCTGCGTTTTCTATCAAAATTACTTCTTGCGTGAATTTTGGGACACCCTATATTATGGAATTATAAATCAAAAAGTTTTTTTTTCATTGAAAATTAACCACATCATAAAAATTATTGTTGGTTATAAACAAATGATATTATATAAGGGGGTTTTAAGGAATTTTAGATAATTAATATTAGATAATATTAATCTGCTCAGGCTGCCATAGTAGGTTAAACAAGAGAAATTTATTTGCTCACAGTTCTGGAGCCAAAACGTCCAAGAACAAAATTTGGTTTCTGCTGAAACCTTTCCTCCAGGTTTGCAGATAGCCACTTTCTGCTGTGTCCTTACATAACCTTTTCTCTGTGCTCCCACAAAAAGAAAGAGGGGAAGAGAGATCTCTGGTGCCTCTTCCTCTTTTTATAAATGTACCAGTCTTATCGGCTCAGCAATCAACCTTTATGACACCATTAACGTAATTACATCCCTAAAGGTCCTATTTCCAAATGGAGTCACACCAAAGGTTAAGACTTCAACACTCAAACTTTGGGAAAACAAAATCCAGTCCATAACAGGCACAACCGACAAGAAACATCATGCATATTATTTCACATTTAGCAATAAAAATTTATTGGAAAATATAACAGCAAGTTCATATTTTTATAATACAACACATATGACACTGTCTCCCTAAAAAGTCATATGTTGAAACAACCCTCAGTACTTCAGAATATGACTATTCAGAGTTAAGGCCTTTCAGATGGTGATTAAGATAAAATGAGGCCATTAGTGTGGTCCCTAATCCAATCTGACTAGTGCTTATAAGATGAAATTTGAATACACAGAGAGACACCAAGTGTATGCACACACAGAGGAAAGGCTATGTGAGGACAAGAGAGAAGGTGGCCATCTGCAAGCCAAGCATAGAGGCCTCAAAAGAAACCAATCTACCTGCACCTTGATCTTGTATTTCCAACCTCCAACTGTGAAAAAAATAAATCTGCATTGTTTAGACCAGCCAGTCTGAGGTATTTTGTTATGGTAGCCCTAGAAAAGTAATATAGGTATGATGGGATAAATGTCTTAATAATTAAAGTCATTTTTAAGAGATCATAGTTTAGTATTCTAAATAAAGTTCATTGTATAACATTCATAGTACCCACCCTAATTTTCTCCAACTTGATTCTCATTGGTTATACAGTCCCTCCTGGAATGCAAATGCTTTACTTTTTCTTCCTTTACCCCTTAGTTTTATATTTCACAATTTTTTTGTCTTTCTTATTAGACTGTCTGAGACTCAATTTCAAAGTTTTATTCCTTTTAGTACAGGAGCTCAAAAAGCAAAGCTCTGTAAAAGAAAATGTTAATAAATATTGAAAGACCACTGGACCCATTCAGGGCTATCAATGACCGTGGGTGGTAAGAGATGCCAGAAGAATGAGATGTGGCTCCTGCCCTCATATACCCACACGCTCACAAACTAGTGGGGAATACAGAATCATGAATGAGTCAGTGGTGTGCTATTTTCCTTAAATGATAGAATATTTCTCATTATCCCACCCAGATTGGGTATAAAGGAATAGAAAATGCAGACTTGAATCTTCACATACCTTAGTCTCTTCTCACCTGAACAGTCTCTGTATGATAATTCTGTTCTTTGGGATAAACAATGAAAATTTCCGACCTCCTCTACCCACTGCCAGATAGCATCTGGGAGGAGGTAGATTTATTGCCAAGCAAACAAAGCTTTAACTTCAGGTTTCCTCACTTTCATGAGTCACTTCTAAAGCCATGTATCTAATTTTTGTATTTTTAATTTTATATTATTTTATAAAGGAGTAACCTCCAAATTCTAGAAGGCGTCTCAGGACATGGATCATGGATTTGGGCTTACATGGAATAGGTAGAGAGACTCTTTCTTGTATCTCTGACTACTTTTCTGGATGCTCAGTCTCTTTGGCAATGTCCCCTCTCTACGTGAAGCCCAGTTGCCATGTGGGTATCTGCTGCTGAGGCCTGAGTTGGGGATCCTGTATCTCCCCTCTTAGCTCCTTCAAGGACCAAGAGGTCCCTCCGAACTGACTTAGCCACTCTCCTGTCATCATACATATATCGTTCATATTGTGGCTTCAGAGCCAGGCATCCTTCTGCCTCTTTATTTGCCAACCCAGCATCTCCTATAACAGGCTGCCCAGGTCTTCCCTCAGTCACCTTCAATGACTTACATAACTTCTAGATCTCTTGCAAGTGACAAGAAACTCAAGCTAGTTTTGGCTATTACCATGATAGTGAGAATTTAAGAAAGAAAAACTATTTTGCTCAGTACCATTTCTAATTTTTAAGACCATAATATTGCTAGGAACTGAAAAAGTCTGATCTAGAAATTTAAAAAACTGAACACCAAATCTTTCATTTGCATTCCTGCTATAATGGTCCTCTTATCTACATCCCCATTCCTGCTAAGGTAAATAAATATCTCTGGCCAACTATGGGGTAGATTCCATACACAAATATGCCAAATATAAGAACATAGTAATATGTCTTAAAATACATTAACCCCAATGCATAAATAATTGCAAGTAAAAATATTATTTTAGTGATATAGGAGCATGGAAAAGGGAGTAATAACACTACCTATGAATGTGGGGAGTCCCAGTGAACATTGATACTGCAAATGTAGTCAAAAGAAGTGCTAGATATTCACCAACACTCCCCTTATAGTTTTAATGAGCACTGATTTTTCTATTTCTTGGCCACTTGCAATTTAATCTTTGCAGAGAAACATACACATTATGATGACAAATATTTTTCCTATGTTTTCTATTAATAATTTATGGAAAATTTCACCTGTCCATTAACTTAATATTAAAATATTTTGACTATGCAGACTAAAAATTCACAGTGCCCATAACTTGAGATTATATTAACAGTAATCTGAAGAATAATTATTGGTTACACCTGTTTTTTTTCAATGGCTTTTATACTTGACTTAAATGAGGATTCTCAAAATGAGGTCATGGAAACAAGTACCAGTATCACTTGAATCTTGCTATAAATGCAAATTAGCATTATAACTCTGTTGGTAAGGGCCAGCAACATGTTTACTATGCCATCCCAATGATTTGGATGCATCCTAAAGTTTGAAAATTATTGCATTAGATTATAAATTCAGTAAGTCATGAAATGCTTATTTGCTATCATTTTTCCAAGGTATATATTACAGCGTTCTGTATATTGTGGAAACTTAGCCAATATTTTCTAAAAACACAAATAATATCAAAATCTATCTAGCTATCTACCTACCCATCTACTTACTTATCTATCTATCCAAGCCATAATTATATTTTTTGTTTATTTGAATCTTCACCCGAGGATATTTTTTCCATTTGATTTTTAGAGAGAGTGGAAGGGAGGGGAAGAGGAGGAGAGGGAGGGAGGAAGGAAGTGATGAAGGAAGAGAGATTTGGGAGAGAGAGAGAGAAACATCTATGTGAGAGAGACACATCTATGTGAGAGAGACACATCTATGTGAGAGAGACAAAGCAATCAGCTGCCTCCAGCACTAGAGCCAACCACGCCTCGGATCAAACCTCGAGAATCAAACCCACAACCTTTCCGTAGGAGGACCGATGCTCTAACCACTGAGAACATGTCAGGGCATAATTACATTTTTAAATTAGCACATCCCTGCTCTTACCTGAGAAAGTCAAGAACCAAAGAATGTTGCAAATGAAGTTGAATCAGCCTTTCAATGTAATCCACAGGTAAAGACTGACTAGGATTAATCCCATCAGGCATTACTCCACTCAAGTGGCGTATCACATCATAAATGGTTTTAGTGTATCTTAAAAAGTTATTTGCTTTGGCATGTTTTTGATCTAATGAGATTGATCCGAAGGCTTGCATTTTACTCACATCCCTATGGAAAAACAATTTTAAAAATGTATTTAAATATCAAAACGTTATGTTATGGAAAAAATGTATCCAATGACTAAATAAAATTCTATTCCAAATCAAATAAAAATACATGACAAAACTCATTTATTCAGATACCATTGTTAGTAAAAATTGAATTTTTTAATAACCGCAGAGCTTTCCAGGATCTTTTTAAAAACATAAATCATTATCTAATGTTGCAATTGTCAAGTCTAAAAGATTAGATTGTGATTAGAACATATAAGTGCCTTGGCTAAACAGTATAGGGATTAAATCCTGGACCCATCACCTACTAGCCGTGTAATTCACTGAACTCAATTTGTATGCTATAAATTAAAGATAATAATGTCTATAATGGTTTCTGAGATATATTTCAAACATTCATCACACATGTTTAAACAAAGTCCAATTTACATACATTCTCTCAATATTTGTCTTTTAATACTTAGAAAGGCACATCTTGCACACTGGCTCATGAGTTAGAAATTCTCATTTTTAAGATGAAGTCCAGAGATCTATTGTTCCCATGTATTTCTCTGTTCTTTAAATAAGATAATGCAATCTCTATTTCCTGACAACTCCTGCACCAAGATGTGATATACGCTAATTTTCAATTGGATTAAAAAATTTCAATCAGTTTTGCTGACTATAGTTTATCAAATATCTAATACTATACTATTTGTTTGATAGTAATCAGTCACAAATGTATCATTAGCTTAGACTGACAAATAAAATGTGCCCAAGGGGCCATTTTGAAAGGCAGTTCACCAGTTTGCTAGGTTGTAGATTTATATCACATACTAGAGGCCCAGTGCATGAATTTGTGCAACAGTGGTTTCCCTTGGTCTGGCCTGCGGGATTGGGCTAAAACCAGCTCTCTGACATCCCCTGAGGGGTCCCAGATTGTGAGAGGGTGAGGTCAGGCTGAGGGACCCCCACCAGTGCACTATCAGGGCCAGGGAGGGACAGCAGGAAGGCTCCAGGGCATGTCTGGCCCATCTCATTCAGTCCCGATTGGCTGAACCCCAGCAGCAAGCCAACCTACCCTGTCGGAGCGCCTGCCCCCTGGTGGTCAGTGCACATCACAGCAACTGGTCAACCGGTCAACTGTCTGCCATTTGGTCAGTGCATGAGCAAGCCAACCTACCCTGTCGGAGCGCCTGCCCCCTGGTGGTCAGTGCACATCATAGCAAGCAATTAAGCGGCCTTAGCATACCATTAGCATATTATGCTTTGATTGGTTGAATGAACGACTGAACGACTGGATGACTGGACACTTAGCATATTAGGCTTTTATTGTATAGAATTACAGGACAAACAACATTGATTTAGGTTAGGGTTTGACTACAATTGCTCAGACCCTGGCTCTGCCACTTGCTCTGTGACTTTATGGAAGTTACCAGACCTTTATTTCCTCAGCTTCATTATAAGTAATGTATGTAACAGAGCCAGTATATCCTGAAGTTACCAATAAAGAAAACAAATATTTCATGGAGAAAATTAATACCAGCATAGACCTTATAATATTTCTACCAAAAATTATGAAAATATAAATGGTCTAAACAGAATTAAAATACAAACATACAACAATTAAATAAGAAAGAGACAAAGCAACAAGACGAATGCAAATGGAAAGAAACAGTAAACAATATAAACAGACACAATGTAAATAGTAAACAATACAAACAAACTGTATAAACGAACAGGCCCAGATATTATATTTGTGAGAAACAGATTTTAAACTAACTGTATGTACCATGTTTAAGATTGAGAATTTTTATCACTGAACTATCCCATCTAATAATAGACAAACATGGTAATTGACTGTACCTTCGCTACGCCTCCCATTGGCTAATCAGCGTGATATGCAAATTAATCACCAACAAAGATGGCGGCTAATTTGCATACTGCAGGCAGGTCGGGACAGCACCATCCCACCTGCCCCGCCGCCATCCAGGCCTGCTATTTACGACCTGGGGTGGCGCAGAGTGGTTAGGGGTGATCAGGCAGGTAGGCAGGCCAGTGGTTAGGAGCCAGCAGTCCCGGATTGTGAGAAGGATGTCCAACTGCCTGGGATCAGGCCTAAACCGGCAGTCAGACATCCCCAGAGGGGTCCTGGATTTTGAGAGGGTGCAGGCCTGGCTGAGGGACCCCCACCCCCACCCCCATGCACAATTTTTGTGCACCGGGCCTCTAGTAAATTATATAAAAATTGACCAAACAGAAAATTTAGAAATGAACAAATCCCATAAGTAAAATTAAGAGAGCAATGAATGAGCTTAACAGCAGACTAAATCAAATGAAAAGAAAATTAATGCACTGGATATAGGCCATAGGAAAGTTTCCATATTGCAATATAGAGGAAAAAAAGATGAGAAATACAAAAGAGTGAATAAAGAAGGAGAGGAACCCAAGAGAATGGGATGGTCACATAATTTGAAAGGATATTGCTGAGAACGCTACAAAATTGACAATTTAAAAAAATGAAACCACAAATAAAAAAACATACTATGAACTCCAATAATAACTATAAAGAAAACTTTTCTAGGCATATCACAGTGAAGCTGCTAAAAACCAAACATAAAGATAAAGTTTTCAAAGTGCTCCAAAGATAATACTTGCAAAGCAGAAGACAAAATAAAATAATATACATTAAATCTGAAAAAAATAACTGCCAATCTAGGATCCAACACAAATCAAAATGATACAATTAGAATAAAAGTGAAAAATATATTTATTTTTAGAAACAAATTCAGAAATTTGTTACCAAATGGCCTTAATTAAAAGATCTAAAGAAAATTATTTGAAAAGAAAAAAATTGTTTTACATTGAAGATCAAAAATAAAAAAATGATGAAGAACAATAAAATTTGTAG